TCGTCTTCCTAACATGTCCCAGACATGTTCGATCGTATTAAGATTTGGAGAACACGCAGGCCAATACATTGCTCTTATTCCGATGGTATTCAAAAAGTCGGAGAAAGTTTTCTCCGTTATGAGTGGCGAATGGTACGACATGCTGTTGAAGAACATCTCATATGTATCCGTCTGCATTTAAAGCACCATTAATAACCACCAATACTGCTCGTGCCCCTAAACATATCCCACCCCAGACCATTACTGAACCTCCACCATAGGAGACAGTAGCAGTTAAATTGAACTGTCCATTTTGTTCTCGTCGGCGGCGATATAATCTTTCCCTGCCATCGATCGAATTAATTCAAAAGCGGCTCTCACCTGTAAAAAGAACGTTGGTCCAATGGTCATATTCCCAATATTCATACTCCCTGACAAAGCGTAGTATTGCCACTGGATGACGCTGCTGGAGTTTTGGAGTTTTCTTTGTTCTGCCTTCAAACCAATTTCTTAGAGCCTTCTGCTGATGGTTCGATGGCTTGTCCTCCTTCAATGTACTTCTTCCATTTCGTTTTTTTATTTGTGGTACTATTCTACGCCTGTTCCGTAATGTTTGCAAAACAATAAATCTGTCGTCTCTGGCCGTGGTTGACCGTTTTCTACGTTGGCCTCGTCGGCTCACATACTCTCCCGCTTGCCTCCAACATCTTACATTACGATAGATCGTGGATATAAATTTTCCTAACATGTTCGCAACATCAGTGTAAGATCTACCATTTTCAATCAACGCTACAGCCCTCGCCACATCAGTAGGAGTTATATCACACATGTTGGATTTTTATCAATTAAAATTAAATAAGAATGTTGACTTTCGCTTGACAATAACCAACGACAGAAACAAAATTGTATTCGTAGACGTAATTTTGCCTGTTCAATAAGATTGAATTCGTCAATATCCTACCGATGCGATGTGGCGAGGTCTGTTGAGGGGTAAATTGAAAAAGTCCTAAGCCTTGGTTAAGTGTGAAGGGAGAGTTTAGAGAGTTTAGTTTAGATAAATAACATTCCACTAAATGGATATGATGAAAGGGACTTTCTGATCCCCCTGTATATTTGTGAGCATCTTTTCACAATAAATTGATCGGTAAGAGATAAAACTGCGAGCAATATTTAACTTGAAGTGAACATTCACACACACGACTTGAAGTTGGGAAACGACACATTTTCATATCCAATTCGTATGTCGACGTGGAGAAAATTACGGCCAATATCCACTTTTTCTTCGAAACTCTATATTTTCAATAATATTGAAAATATTAAATAAAAAATGAAAATCTTCGGAAAAGATCAGGCTACAATTTGGTGTTGAAAACTGTTCTGAATTTCCAGTGGTTCACTCCACAGGGTGTCTCAAAAAACTCTGAAAATTACTGACCTTCTTTACACCCCTGTATATGATATAAAGACGAATCATTCAAAAACGGTGACACGTCAGATAAATTCCTGCTCAAGCTACAATCTGTGAAAAATTCATCAAAATCAAGACAAAATTGATGTCAAACTTAGTGTTAATTGTGTCCGTTCCCCTAATTTTGCCGGTGTGTTGTTTACACGCACATCACTGCTTGAAGGTGGTTAACTTTCATCTTTTTACGGAAAAAGAAACGGGAAAATTTGAACGGTTATGAGCATTACAAATAATTGAATCGCAACCCTACATTTTTGATGTTTTTGTTCTGGTAGGGTAGGAAGGAAATTTGCCCTAAGTTTTACGCTTTTTTCGAGTTTTTCAAGTGTTTTCAGACAAGAAATGGACACTGGCAATCTAACTGGATCGGTTGAAACTAATTTCCTATCAGCCATTAATGTTAACAATGAGGGCGGGTATTATAGAACGATTTTGATAACTAAACTTCTAAAGTTCTAAGAGTGTCAATGCAATGTCATTGCTGTAGTTTTCCATCAACAAGTTTAAGTTTTACGGAAAAGAAAAAAGCTAAAGAAACCTAAATACTTAAGAAAAAGGAAAGGGAATTGTTACATAAACCGGCCTTCGGTCTATCGGGTATTTTACATTTTGCAATTTTGCATGCCAGCGATAAAATATTTGGAGACTGCCATGACCCGCGCACATTCACTATTTACGGATTTTTTTTTTTTTTTTTTTCACTTGCAGAAATTAGATCCGGCCGTTTTATTAAAGGACCCCACAGACGCTTAGTATCTCTGCACAGGCTGACTGTGCAAACCTGGTTTGCGCAGGCATATCGGCACGTCTGTGAATACTTCCGGCTGACTGTACAGGGTGTTTTTTTATATATTCACACCCCATTTACAGCCTTTACCTTTACAGGTAGAAGAAAGATGTAAATACAAAAGTTGTACAGTTTTGGATTAATTTTTAGAATCCATGGTCAGAAACAAAAATTGAATGCCAGAAATGTGAAATATTGCATGCTTTCAGCTTTTTCCAAATGGGATGCCCTATATTTGGTTCTATATACTTGAAGAGCATAATGTCCCGATTCCAACACTATATGGATTGTCTCTATTTGGTTGAGCAGTCTCTTATATATTCGGCTTCAAAAATTGTAAAAATACTATCCTACTAACTGATTTTGCGAATCATTCTACCTGTACAGGTGAAAGCTGCAGGTAAAATTTGAGGTCCTAGGTTTCTCTGATAGTATTTTTAAAATTTTTAGAACCAAATGTGTTGGAGACGACTCAACCAAATATAAACAAACTATATATTTTTGGAATCGGGAAAATGTGCTCTTCAAGAATATATAACCAAATATAGGGCATCCCATTTGAAAAAAGTTGAAAGCATGCAACATTCCACATTTCTGACATTCAATTTTTGTTTTTGACCATGGATTCTAAAACTTTAGCCAAAACTGTAAACTTTTATATTTACACCTTTCTTCTACCTGTAAAGGTAACGGCTGTAGGTGGGGTGTCAATATATAAAAAAAAAAAAACCTGTACAGGCCGTTAGCTTGGCCTGAGTAAATTCAAGATCTGCTAAAAATTTGGCCCGCACAAACCAACACGCGTGATCGTGTGTATGCGTGTTCAGTTCATTCCGTCAGTTCATTTGGCCAATAATTGAGTGTCCTCGTCCATTCTTAGGTAGTGGAACCAATCCTGTTTCAAATCGACAAGTAAGTTGACATGGGAATAGTAATCAATCTTTGGTGCATTTCTTTATTGCACAAGCAAGCAGATTACAAGACAAACCTGTATTGCGAGAAGCCATTTTCACTGTAGAACAAAAATATGCTTGAACTGCGCTTGTCGTCCTGTGTGGAAAGAACTGTGCTAAAAACTGCGCGTGTGTGCGAGGGACACAGGTACAGATTAATTTGCGCAAATTGGCCTGCACAGTCAGCCTGTGTGCTCAGTTATTTTGCACAGGTCGACTGTGCAAACTTGGTTTGCGCAGGCATATCGGCACGTCTGTGGATATTTCCGGCCAACTGTGCAGGCCGTTGGCCTGGCCTGAGTAAATGAAATTTGGCCTGCACAAACTATTTTCACTGTAGAACAAAAATATCATTGAAGTACGTTTGGCGTCCTTCGTTGAAGAACTGTGCTAAAAGATTATCGCGTCTGTGGTGGCCTTAAGACACACGCCATTTTTGTTCCCACAAATTAATCATTTCGCAATTTTAATTGGCAATAGTAAATGACATTAAAGGAATGCCAACCAAGAAAGTAATAAACAAAGTCAGCTGTTTTTAAGGTACACATATGTTTATGCGAATACCTCAAAATTATAAAAATAGAAATGAAATGTTTCGAACAGATAGATGAAGCAGTAAGATTTCGAGATAACAACATCTTTTTTCTGTTTTCTTTTTTCTGACGAGATCATCTTTTTAGGTTAGCTTACTTATCTTGGGGTTTTGAATTGTTTATTCATTTTACTCAAAACTAACTTAAATAACTTAAAATTAACATAAACTAAAAAACCTAAGTAAAATTTTAGCCATTTCCAATTTTTGGTCTGATTTTTCTTTGTTGAATTTATTTTTTCTTCAATTTATGTACAATTTTTTACAATTATTAACAATTATTTACACAATACAAATAGCAAAAACTCTTTGGCAAATTGACAAGGTTTTACTTTGTGTATTTTTTTTTTAATTTTTAACTTTGATTATTGCCGATTATCCAAATCGTCGAAGCGGTTTTTGACTTTGGATTAATGGAATAAAGAATGACTACGTTTATTTCATGCGTTGTATCCGGATATTAAGTGGATTAAGGATTATTAATCTATATTCGTTTATTTCACGACTACCAAATGGATTAAGATTAGTGCCAATCCTTTCTTAAGCTTTGTCAAAAGCGCAAGCCCAAATTGCTTTGTGTCTAACTTCATTAAAGGCAATCAGCTGATACACTTTTTATCAGGTTTAGGTCTTTTTTTCTTGAAGTTAGTAACAAAGTTCTTAAATCCGAGATTTGGAGTGTTTATTTCACATTTGAGATAATCCATTTTAAGTCCAATCCTACAAATTTGGAAGATCGGATTAAGTATCCGATCCGGATAAACTGTTTAATCCTGGGTGTTTATTTCAGGATTATTAATCTCCATTATTAATCCAATCCATACTTAGTATCCGGATAGAACGTGTGAAATAAACGTAGTCAATGTATTATTTTGTTTTGTGAGTTGTCTATTCTGTCTTTGAATTTTTTATATTTGTGTGTCATGAATTCCTGTTAAGTCTACTCCCAGGGCTTGGTTGCGTATCTAGTTATTTATTTTTAATGTCTGCAGCTCCTTTTTGTTGGTCTTCGTTGTGCTGTAAAAGGTCGATGAGCCAGGAACTATGTCTCATGAATCGGTTTCTAGAGAAGTACTCTTTTTTGTAGGTTATGAAGGGCAACTTGATGAGGGCGAAATCGCCAACACCATAAGAAACCAAAATAAATTTATATCAACGAAAAAGATGAGCTCAAAATAACTTACATCAAGAAACTCAAGCATAAGAAGACTTCAACAATATATGATGAAGGTACCGCCAGTTTGTTCCATAAATTCATCAAGTCCACGAAAGTCTTCATATGAAGATATCTCTGTGCCGCGATGTTTTAGATGCCAGAAGCATTTTCATAAGAATAGTGATTGCTCCAATAAGATCACATGTGAAATCTGTGCCGACGAACACGACTTCAAGGAGTGTCCACAGATCAGGAAGCAGTGCGTTAATTGTATTAAAGCAAAATCTAAATACAATGTAAATCATAATATTGGATACACAGCAAATGACCCACTCTGTCTTTCGCTCCAATATCTGTTACAGATTCAGAAAAGCAAAATAGTGATGGCCTGTGAACAGCAAGAAACTAGTATAATGAATGAACTGGACCAATTACAAACTGATATTCAAGTGGAGGCTATTGACTTTAATTTGCTTCATAATAGACTTTGCACAAATAATCAAGTATTTAACGTGTTGCACCTGAACATACGCAGCATTCGCAAAAACCTCAATGATTTCTTGGCCTGGATTCAATCCTACAAACTCAATTTCTGCAACATTATTGTTTTGAGCGAATGCTGGCGTGGCGCTCGTTTAGATCATATTTTTGTAAGGAGAAAACTAAATTTCAAATCACTGAAATATTCCGCTTTTGTTCTTGACTCAGCCATCACAGATCATTATCCTGTAATGCTCAACATCAGTAGAGACGATGATAACTCTCACATTTTTTATACTATCAAATTCTGAATGACCTTCTAGATGATGAAACTTGGTCCGCTATCACAGACGCCAATGATTCAGCTTTGCTACCTTTTTCAGGCTGTTGGAAGGGGCATTATTTTTGAATGCACACGCTTTTGCCGCGATCTTAATTGTCCCAATCAACAAAATGTAGCTACATGCGGTGCTGCCAGCTTTTTTAACCTAACATCCGCCATTCAAATGTCATCTGTTGTATTGATAGAATTTATCCACTTTTCCAACTTTATTTGTTAACTATTATTGATAATAATGGAAATAAATATAAAACACTGATTTTCACCATATTAGCCTATAAAAAAAAGGGCTTTGACAAGCACAATATGGCCGGCAGGAGGAACACAAACTAATATTCACATACACTATTTAAAAACACGATTTCTAACATTGATAAAAACAACAGTTTTAGGTATAATAACGCAAATAATCACGATTAGCACTAATCAAAACTCGTAACACCATTTGATAACACATAAACAAAGGGTTTGTGTTCCTCTTGGCGGACATTTTAATTTAGGTTTGACTGCATCTTGGATAGTCTAATAAATACGCAAAGCAAATGACAAAAATTATGAATTTTTCAGGTTATGTGTTTTAAAACAAAAACAAAACAGCTTTCAGCCGATAACACTGGCAGCACCGCCAGTCAATGTTGCGAAGTTACTTATCTCTATTCACGATATATTTTCAGAAACCAATAACTACATGAGTATTGCATCTATTTTTTTATTATTGTTTCAAATAAATAATTAATTGCATGCTTACTCAAAATTTTTGAAATGATAATTATATTTTATATTAATCCAAAAAGCACAAACTGTCAATATACTAAAACAGTTATGCGCTTGAGAAGAACCCTTTATGACGTCAGAAAGGATTTTGTTTGAATGTAGTCCCGTTTTCAAAAGTTAATATAAAAAAAGTAGGGAACGCAGAAAAAAAAGAAAAGCACATTAAGAATAAGCAAGCAAAATACTATTCAATAAAAAAAAAAAAACGGAAACATGCCCATTGCTTCGAGTATTTTCAGGAGAAAAGATTGGAGTTATTATACCAGGCTGGAAACAGATATTGGGAGACGGATTCTTTTGGAAACTGTTTATTTCAAAACAGAGGTTACAATAATAATGTATTGTTTTTGGATTATCTATGGTTTTCGGCAGTGGACTTTTGAGGACATTTTGCCGAGCTCAGATGTTTTTTGGCCCGAGTCATAGTGTGAGATGTCCTGTTTTAGTTGATAGTTATTTGTTAGAGTTTTTTGCTCTCTTTGTTGTTCTGCAACCAGAAAAGAACACTTTTGGTGTTGAGATCGCATCCCACAATTATTGGGTTTTTATTGTTCGAGAGTTTATACCAGTCTTCCTCCAAGGGTGTCCTTCTGGTGATTTATCAATCGATATAACTTTTATGTCGTTGTCTACGTGTTCTATTGTGATTTCTTTCATCACTATACGTGAATTTGTATCTGGGGGTTCGTGTTCATTTTGTTTGTCAGCTTGTCTACAAGGAAGTCTATTTTCCTGTCAATTTCTGCTGGATCTTGTAGAAGCCACAGTAGCACAAGGTTTTGTGAATTTTAGCTTGTTGGGCTTTGATGTATGGGTGGTGTGATTTGTGTGCCTTTGCGCGTACGTTACTGTTGCTGTGGTGTTCTGAAATTGTTTTTGTCTTAGTTATTGATGTTGTGCTGTCTGCCCTTGTGATTGTTGTTCTCTGGGATTTTTTCGTAACCTTTGTAGTAACCTGCCGCCAGAGTTGCAAGATTTTGGCGGAGTTTCACAGCCTTTAACAGGCAATTATCAATGTAAGAACTGGCACCTAGTCTATTATTTTCAGGGTCGCTTCAATATAATCTAATTAATCACAATATTCACACATTTCATTAAATGATGAACACTTTCACAGTCGGTAATTCAATTGAAGATGATGTTTTTCGGGCTAATCCGCCATGGTTTTCAGGTAAAACATACTTCTACATATCACATATTTGCTGACAGATTCATTTTATCGGGGAAACTCCTTTTCATAACATGTTGATAAAATTCATGTTTCATCCAAGAATGTTTGTGGTGAAATTTCCTCGGGCAATATCTACAAACAAATTCTTGGGTTTTTCCACATTCGAATCTTTTATGTTTGTATAATGATTGATGGTGTCTATACCGTTTCCCGCAGCTGCAAGCAAATGCTGATGTACCTGGAATAAGAATCAAGTTAGTTTTACGTTATCCAGTTTCAAAGAATTACACATACCTATACCCAACGCTGTTTATATTCTCTAACTTATTCAAGTGAATAGTCAGTAGAACAAACACAGTTAAAGTAACAAACACAGTTAAAACCCCTAAGTTTTATCAAAAAATGATGTATATTATCTTTTCATACAGTTCCACAGGTTTATACGATGAAAACCAAACATAAGTTTACTAAAATTTTTTGCAAAAACTTCCCAACCGCCTCAAAGTATCTTGAAATATGGTATCAGGATCGCTCATTGATGAAACACTAGAACTTTGATTATCCAGGAACGTTCGTTGTCCTTGGTTGGAATTCGTCACATAATCATTTGGTGATTGTCCAAAATGTTCTGTATTTGATTGGATGCTGGTGCTTGCCGGAGACATAAGATTTCTATGAAAACTTTCCGATGAAATATTCCTAGATAGGTTTGGAATTTGCTGAAGATTTTTTTTTGGCTGAGTCATCTGGGTTTTCCTATTTTTAGACAAATCTAATAAACTTGCTGTGTTCATAGAACGATCGCTATCCTTGTGTTTATCCGATTCGCCAGTCAAACACGTCTTGTTATTAACATGGTTGTTTAGTCCCTGCTTATAGTAAAATCCTCTTCGACAGTGAGGACAAACAAACGATTTTGTTTTCCCACATTCATATTTTCTATGATTATGCAGGGAAGTTTTTAGTTTATAGGTTTTTGAGCATGTAGGACACTTGAAACATTTCGCATCTGAAATTTAATTAATAAGTGAATGTTATCTCGATGCATAGAAAAATACACTAGATCAATAAGATGTGTGGCTATGAAATGCGTTAAATAGTAATAGAGTTAGGTACCTACTAACATAGACATCATATACTTTACAAAGCATTGATTAATGACATAGGGTTTATTGCGGGCGGTGGAGGGAATAAAACTGTACGATAGTTATTTTTATCGTTAGGACAAGAAGTGCGAAGCTCAAAGTTTGGGTTAGCTACAATGATAGAGCTCAACAAGATAAGACCATCTGGCCCGAATGGCATAAAACATTTCCCGCTCAAGGGTCTGCAATGTTTCCTCCACAACTATCACGACAAAATCAGTTAAATGAATTAATGAACTAAATAAAAATATTTGATATGTATGCTCCAGTGACATCGTACGGGATCGTATTTGTCTGCTCTTTATTATTGCCTATTATTAATGCTTGCCTACAATAAAGATAGCTAACAACTCCAAACTTCCTAATATAACACAGGTCGCTGGAAGAAGTTTCACTTGGTTTTAATGCAATATTACCAAGGGCCGTTTCAAAATAAAATAGGGATGTTCTCATGGGGAAAAAAGCAACTCTCCTCAAATTATACTGTGATCACCAAGACTAATTTATTATTTCAATATAATTAGAAAAATGTGAGTTTAAAAATCAAAAAGAGAGTGAGAGTACCGATATACAACTTGACACTCTTCCATAGTTTAAATAAAGAAACATAACATTTTTGACAGGTCGTTAGATTGTAGCACTGAATATTAGGTTAGGTATAGACAAAATTGTTCTCTTTTTTCTTCTTTTTGATTAAATTAGTCACTTTTTATCAAGCAAATTCTTGCCAATAATATCGGCAACGTCACCTATGTTCTATGAGCAGTCTTGATTGAATCCCAATCGCGCTATCTCTTTCGCTTAGCTAAAGTCAACTCGAGCCAACTGTACCCAAATGAGCATTATAGTCCGGGAGGCAGCGGCTTTTTTTTCAAAGAATTTTATCACGGCTGAGTTTTATGCTGTACGTTGTAGTCAGCTTTCAAATGACGAAACCCACCGTCAGCCGGTATAGTAGCGATGGGTACGAGCTTGAGAATGCAGTAGTCGTGAAAAAAAAGTTTACTAAAGTGATTTTATCACAGGTGAAATTGTTTACATGCGATATTGCTGTTAATTATTACCTAATAAAATCTAACCGTCAGCTGTGCGGTAGAGGAGGGATTATACGTCACTCAAAACTTTTTTGAAAACATGGAATTCAAATTATTTTATCCCGATTGAAATTTTGATACATAATTTCGTACATATATAGAAATATAATAATGACCGTCAGCTGCATGTCTAGTGGGGGTAAAGCCGGAGTCTCATGCATCCGTTTTCCGAACGTCCGATGGTACGACGGAACTCCTATACTGGTGAAAAGTATAGTAAACAAAACAATAAACCGAGCAATAAAATAATTCTAAATGCGTATTGAGCTTGCGCTTTAAGGTTTATCTCGTCGATAATGGATCTCCAAACTCGAATAAAGCGTCGAATTATCAATATTTTATTTTTGTACAAAAGCGACAAAAGCAGGAGAATAAATAAAAATAAAAGTAAAACCTAAAAAAAAAAACAAAACGGTTTTGAGTCAGGGATTTGTTGAAACAACGAAAAACTCAAGGTGCTTTCCACAACTTGTAACAAAAAATGAGAGAATGAGACTGACGGATTAGGAGAGGTATTATAACTACCAAGATTCCAATGTCCAGCAATACATTCCAAAATCTAGGTATTGAATATTATGCGTAATCATCCATTTTCTATTGATCAATGTGAGTGATTACTCATACAATGACTTTTTTTTCATTATTTAATTGTTTTCAACCAATGAAAATATCCTAATCTCATTACTCCACTATTTAGGAGTCGATCAGAAAATTCGGCAAGTTGACAACATCCTTCAAATCGGTCATTTTGACAGCTAATTTGGACAAGACTTGTGCTAACCTAACC